GCGCCTTGTCCAATCAGGTCCTTGGCCAGCGGTCCATCTCCGCTCTGCACGAATTGGATCTTAGCCCTGTAGTAGGCATGATACGCATCTTCCGGGTTCAAGAATGCGAATTTCGTATTCGCCCTCTCATCTCCTCTGATCTTGGCCTCAAATTGCACGCCGTTGCGAGCCACAAAGGTGGCAGTCTTGTCCACGATGGAACGAATGTCGGGAGGCGGGTAGATCACTCCGCCCGTGCTGAATTTGGGCAAAGCAGACGCTTCTTCGGCCGTCGAAACTTGCTCGAGCAATGGTCCAGAGCTTGACCCTGCTTGTGCTGCTCCGCTCAGCGTCGTCGCTTCCTCGACATCTTCGACGCGTGCTGCTTTGTCTGCCTCTGTGGGTGCGCCTGCCTCTGTGGGTGCGCCGTTGGAAGGTGGTGGCAGGTTGAGGCCGGGTGCCATGATGAGCGCGACGACGTCGGGGTGGACGCGGTGTCGCCGAAATAGGATGTATGCGCTCGAAGCCACTCAAGGATGGGCTCGATGCGCTTCTTTGCAGGGCAGGAGATGCGAAGCAGGGGTGGCAAGCCCGAATTGCGTACCGTGATGAAGGGCAAGTATCTTGCGTCGGGTCTCAGCAATCTCACGTGGCAGACACAGTCCTGGGGAGGAGCGTGTCTGATGTCTGGTTGACCTCGAGAAAATTGTGTGCGGTGAGTGTGGCCTTCGGGAGGCTTGCGTGGAAGACTGCTGCTCGTCTCTCTTGCGCTGTATGTTGTGGTCACTCGTCTGCCTGCCAGTCACGCGTCCGAAGGAAGCAACGAATCTGAATCTGTCGTGTGTGTGAGACGCCGTGAGTCAAGAGTCAGCACGAGTTGCCGCGAGCGATGACGGCACGCAAAAGTTGGATCACGTGACTCTTGCAATCTGCGCGACCACACCAGAAGAAAGCTCGCGCGATGATGAAGGCAACCCTCTCGAATGCCAACCTTGGTGGGGGAAGCGGCTGCTGCTTGACCATCTCATACTCACGAATCGTGACTGAGGGGATGTAGCTTCGCATCGCTAGTGCTCCGACCCTCGCCCTTCTTGCCGTCGCCCGTCACCTCTCGTTCGGACTGCACACCTGCTGATCCACCCGCGCATATTCACCTCCATTGCTCGCAACTCAATTGCAACTTTGCACGTCCGCACACATTCGCGGTCGCTTGTGAGACGATCAAAAGGATGGCTCAACCTTCTCGTGTACACTTTTACGCATCTCGCATCGCTCCATTTGTCCTCCTCACAGCATGCACCTCTACCGCACTCAACACGACCTCTCTTCGCAAACATCGAGCAGCCGATCGAAAGCTGCACGAGGTTCAAGTCAGATTTCTTCGAGATCTCCTAGACGACGTCGAAGATGATGGCATTCGCGCTGCCGACATTGCTGCGGATGGTTACGGCGTGACGATTACATCAATAGCTGACACTAGCAGCAGCAACGAACGAGTGTACGAAACAGACTTGAAGAAGTCATATGTGGCTCGATCCATCTCTCTGGATCCCTCGCAGCTCTCCTTGCCTGGCATACCCAGCACCTCTTCCATGTCCTCTCTCTCAACACGCGAACTGAGCTGGAGTCAGGTCATCTTTGGCGAACGAGGCGTGGGGGCTATAAGGGAAGGGATCGACAAAGCTGCGGGCAAGATCAGAGAGGAGTTTAGCTTTGGGGGGGCTCGGAAGAGTGGAGAGGCCGGTCAGGTCGACCGAGCTGCTACGGCCAGAGAGGAGCAGGAGGAGTGGAACAGAGGTGAGTGTGAATCGAGCGCGTGTTGGTGCAGGCAGCAAGAGTAGCGCCCGCGCGGATTCGTCCTCGGGCAGCTCGGCTAGGCTAGGCTTCCACTCCACTCAACCTCGAAACGTGGGCCTGCCCTCGAACAAAGGGCGCGTGTACACAGCACATCATCTCAGCGCAAATCAAAAGGCAGACAAGCTGACGTTCGTGCTGCCTCTCACAACTCGTTCAGAGATCCTCTCCGATCCTTCAAGTAGCGGCACTCCAATTCCACCACGTTCTCAACCCCTCGGCGCGAGCGCCTCTGACGCAACACATCGCACACCGCACCGAGGCATTTCAACGGGATCAGACGAGCACAGGGAATCGGGACAAGCAGCGAACAAGTCGCCGAGCAGGGGTGGAAGAGAAGCGGAATCTCTATCGAGAAAGTCGGAATTGGAGGCGGAGAGCGCTTCCCGGCCGAGGACGTTCTATTGAAGTGGCAAAGATGGAGCATACGATCAATCCGCACACCGCGACGTACTGGTCGAGACATGAGCGCTGATATGTGTGCGTACATATGAAGCTTGCCAGGCTGATCACGGAGCATGCGCGAGCACATTCCCTCTTTGCTCTCGAGGTCTCGCCGAAGAGTAAGGCTGTTGAGCATTTGATCATTTTGAGCAGCTCTCCGCTACGGTCGACCGCACTGCGTCAAATTGCGGCGCATACGCGGCAAGGCAAGCTAAAGCTGATCCGCAGCCTTGAGCGCAGCCTCGGGCTCCCAAGCTTTGTAAATCTCGCAGACCCTCCTTTCTCTGGTTACGATGTACTCCGACGAGTTCACCTTGTTCCGCCAGGGTGTGGACGTTGCGTGTTGGAATTCGGCAGACGAAGCAAAGGCAGGGTTGGTATATTCTGATGGGAGACGCATCCGCAGCAAGCAAGCCAAAGGGTCAGTCGGTGGTTGCAGTGATAGACGAGCAGAAGTCAGGAGTGCATGCCGAAAAGAGACAGGACCGACCGAGTGCATGCTGAATCGCTACGGCTGATCTTTGCCGTGCCACGTCGGATTCTTGTTACTCCTCATCGCGCCGCACTAAAACGTTCAAAACCCATCCCTGCTCATTCCCGTCTCCGCGTGCGACCAGGACTCACCGCTCATTGCGAGTATTCTCGGTACTCTATCCCCATCGCCATGGATCGTATCTTTGCCATTGATTACCGCATCGACCAGCTCGAACCTACGGGTTCTCTTCCAGCCCGGCACTTTAGCCAGCAAAGCAGAGTGTTCCTCGTCGTACCACTGTTCGTACTCTTTAGCTTTCTCCGACGAGGCCAAATGTACCGAAGTGAGCACGACGATGGGTGCAGCATGCGACGAGCTCTCTGGCGCAGCAGGTCGAGGCGCGGAAGAGGCGCTTGCACCCTGAGCGCTATCCCAAACCAATCTGTAAATCCTTCGATCCAGCACTCCGATCCTTCCGATCAATTTTGCCTCTCTCTCGCTCCGATTGGCTCTCAGTGAGGTGTACCTCGGCTGATTGAAAATGTCGTTGGAGCTGATGGAATAGATTGCTGCCCAGCGAGAATCGAACGTCTTGCTCGCGTTCGCATCCGCGTCCGCGGGGGAGTGGGACGTGCCATCGCTGTACACGGAGGAGGAGACGCTGTACCTCGCGGCGCTCAGGAACTCCGCGAATCGACTCGTGCGAAGTGGCACGTGCTCGTTGTCGTACCAATCTGGTCGAAAAGGCGAAACGTAGCAGTGGACGTCAGCTCAGTGTGGCCAAGAGATGAGTTTGCCGTCCCACACGACCCGTTGCGTATTTGCTAGCACTGGAACGCAAGTGAATCGCTTTGCCGCCCTTGCGTAGCGCATACACCCCCACCCACCCGTGCATCCCGCTGTCAACTCCAACACCATTTCTCAGCGACCTCCAACATCCCCACGCGACGCACGTTCGCGCTTGCACCGACTCTCACCATGAAATTCTTCCAAGGAGACATGCTTGCCTGGATCGGAAAAGACGAGCAGCAGACCTTGATCCTCAGCTTTGTAATCCGTCATAGGTGCGTGCAGTATGTTGATTCGATCCTCTCTTTCTTTCTTTCTGGGTCCAGCTTCTGCGATACTTGTGAGGGCCATGAAAGGTGGTGTACGGAAGGATTCGAGAGAAGGAGTGGATGAAAAGGCATGGATGGGAAGGGATCGAATTGAGTGGACTTGAGCAAATTCCCGGCGAACGCTCCTCGAACGCGCTCTCGCAATGCGGCAAAGAGATTCTCCGCGAGTGCGAGTGCGAGTGCGAGTGCGAGTGTGGGGAAGGGCCGCGCGCAACCCATGCAGCGTTGCGTGCGCTCGCTCAGGCGTGCACGAGGTGAGGTCCGATCGGAGCTGGTGCGCGGTCCGAAGAATGAATTCAGCAAACGCAGCTAGCTGCATGGCGAAACATCGACAGCCAGCCAGAAGGACGCAATGGTGACTCGTGACTCGTGACTCCTGACTCCTGACTCCTGACTCGTGACTGGTGACATCTCTGACTCGTGACTCCATCATCACTCCTCACTCACGACACGTACTGGATGTTATGCTGCAAGCTAGCAGGTAGTCAGCTGTCAAGAGCTTCATTGAGCTACCACCCATTCTAGCCCAACAGTTTGGCATTGCCTGCCACTCATCCGAGCCAGCCAGCCAGCCAGCCTCGGTTTGGCTCCACCGCTGCTCCCTCTCCCTCTCCCTCTTCGCCTCCTACGTCCACTCTTCGCATCATGTCTCAAAATTCCTCCTCCTCCTCCGCCTCCGGTCCTGTCGCGAGCAGCAACATCGCCCTTTACTCTAGCGTCACACCAGAGCAACCACAATGCCCACGCACGCGTCACATCCTCAGCGGCACATTCAACACTCCCCACCTGCATCTCTTGCGTTTCGACACGCTCACTCGAGCATTGACTCTGGTGCATCAAATCTCATCCAACAGCAGCAGCAGCGTGTCACCTTCTTTCTCCTCGTCCACAGCCACATCCCCACATGCTCACGTACCAGAAGGAGCCATACAGGCCAAAGGTCCTCATCAGTTCCTCGCATTGGGCAAAAGCATCGGCTCTGTCGGGACGTGCGACGCATATGCCGGCCCGGGTCCTTCGAATCGCGTCGCAGCGCAGAAATCGCGTCCGAACAGGGTGTATGCTACCACGTGGGCTTTGAAGCCCGAGCTCAGCGCTTGGGAGATACGTTGGGATGGGGAGGCGCAGAGTGAGAGCAAAAGACGGGGCGTGGACGCGGGTATCGGTGCAGCAGATCCCTTGGTGCGCTTCATCAACAGCGTGCCCATCAGTGAGTCTGAGCGCTCTGCTTGACCCCTTTGGCTGCTTCTGCTCCTATCCGTGCAGCTTGCTGCTGCCTGTGCGTGGGATTACGCAAGCGACGTGAATGGTGAAGGAAGCTGATGAGACGTATCGCATACATGCCGTCACCTTTTCTTCTTGAATTTCCTTTTCTCTCTTCTCATCAGCTGCAACATCCTCCTACGTCTCTGTTCAACCTCCCCCTTTTTACTCGCTCACTTCCCCCTCTTACGCCCACACCGAATGCGGCGCCTCAAGTCGATACCTATACTCTGCGGGAGGCCCGAGTGGTGAAGTGCACAAATTGAACGAGGATGGAAGTATTGCTTCCAAAGTTCAAGAAGTCGTCTTTCTTGCTGAGGGAAAAGAAGCGTTAAAGTCAGCCGACAAGACTCGCAAAGCTCTGGTGGGTGGCGTGGCGTGGGGTGGTGCAGTGCTTCGAGCTAGCTCTTTGCCCTGCATAACCGTCTGATCTGCGCCCTATGCTCGCTTCACTCAGCGCTACGGCGCACACAGTGTCGACTTCAGTCCAGACTCTACCAGAGCATACGTGGCGGATCTGGGTCGCAATTCCATTTTGGTCTATTCGGTGAACCCAAATAGTGGCATGCTGGATGAAGTGGTGGACGAGGTTCGCGCGTTCGAGGAAGGAGATGGTCCAAGACACGTCATACCTTCGCCCGATGGCAAGTGGATAGCTAGTGTGACGGAGCACAGTGAGTCCGAAACCAGGTCCTAGGCTGGCTCGACCTGCCTTGGTGGTCCACGAAACCTCTTATGGCAGGAGAAGGACAGGATGCGTCGAGGTGGAAGCAAACGTGCAGGAACTCCATCCCTCGGTCAATCAGCTTTGGCTAGGCTTGCCCGCGTGCAGAGAGGGGAGCTTCTTCGGCACGACGGCATCACATTGATACGTATCTCCCTCTCACCCATCCTATAGCTTCGTACGTCGACATTTTCGCCGTGCCCGCTGCAAAGGAGGGCAAGATCTTTCACGTTCAAAGGGCAGATATCTTACCCTCAGGTGCGTTCTATCAAGTGCTTTTAAAAAAGCTCGCTCGCCAGATGTCCGCCAAGAAGATGCGTGCGGGCCGTTTGCTCCCCTTGCCGCCTCTGCTGGGCCCTGACGCCACATGCCCCAATCGTTCTGCTTTTCTCTCTCAATCAGGTTCGGACCGTTCAGCGTATCGCGGCGACACGCTCCGACTCTCCCCGTCCGGTCGGGCGCTGTTGGCAACGACGCGCGGCAAGACTTCTTCCGTGCGGGGATACGTTCGTGCTTGGTCGTGGGACAGCACGGGTTCGCAAGTGGAGGAATTGGGAGCGGCAGGTCCGTTGGGCGAGGTTCTGCACACGTACAGCACGCCCACTTCGGGCGGGAAAGCCAATGCGATCGAATGGGCGCCTAGCTACTCATCTTCCCTCGCGGTCCATCGCCATGCTCCATTCCCCACAGTTCAAGGTTCTTCCTCTTCCCCCATCTCGTCTGCCCAATTTAGAGAGCAGCAAAATAGCGAGACGCAAGAAGATCAAGAAGAGGATTGGGCAGTCTTGACGGATGATGAAGAGGGACATGTGCTGGTGCTGCGCTGGACGGGAAAAGATCTGGAGGAAGTGTCGAGGGTCACTCTTCGAGGTGCATACGGTGGCGAAGCGGGCAAGGAAGAGGGTCAACAGGTAGGAGCTAGCCATGCCATATGGCTCAGTTGATTTCCTTATCAAATGTTGTAAGCAGCATGTATCCCCCGCTTGTGCGCCCAGATCGCAATGGCGTCGTCGCGACTGGACGTAAATCTTATTTTTGGTGACGTGTAAGATTGAAGTACATGATAGGCAGTCAGAGGGCGACACATACTCGAGCCAAGAAAGCAGCGTGTCGTGTCGAATCGAATGAGTGAGACTTGTGATGTCAGATGGCGGAGCGAGGAGATGGAGAAGAAGGGGCGTGCAAGGGCAGAAGTGGCGGGTCGGGGGAAAAGTAAAAGAGCGCCAAGAGCTCGTATGCAACTCTCTATCTCATCCAGATCCAGATCCTTCAAGAGCTCTGACGATGGCAAAGCTAGCCGCTGCAGCCGAAGCGCCGACGGCCAGCGTAGAGATGGCGCCCCAAGCCAAACCTCTCACGTCCGTCGCTCCTCCTGCAAATCTCTGTTTTGCCACGCCAAAGAGGAGCAGGATGATGCCGGTGATGATGATGGACCAAGTCAGCGCTTCGGATACCGTCGTGATGAAAATGTAGGGCAAGAGCGGGATGAAACCCCCGATGCTGATGTTTGGGAGCAAGAGACAAAACGCGGGGAGTTGTGTATAAGCCGCAGCGTCCGATGCAGGCACTCTGGAGACACACAATAGGCTTCAAAAGACTCACAAGTAGCTCGCTCCGATGGTGATTGCGCTTTGCCACACCCTCCCATCCTGCACCTCTTCCAACCCCTCTCCCAATCGAAGTATAAAAGGCGTCAAACCTCTCGAAGGCCCCTGGAGTCCATCGCTTCTCACAAACCGCTCAGGTCGAGAAGAGACGGGCCTAGGCAGGTCGGCTACATGAGAGCATTCCCTCTCTTCCACATTCAACAGCTTGTCCGCTACCAGGCCCGCCACGTCCGCAGGCACACCAAAAGGTGAGAGGATGGAGATGACCTCCCTCTCCATCTCGCCGGCGCACGATTGACGTACTCGGTCCGACGTGGCACGAGAGAGGTAGCGATAGTGTTGCAGCTCGGCTTGAGCGCTCAGCAGACCACCTGGAAAACGACGAGATGGGAGAAAGGGATGAGCATATATCCACATCGAGAGCTACTCGTGAGGCACTACGCACCTACGCCCATGCTGATGGCACCGCTCACCAGCTCAGCCATTCCAGCCACGACGACGATGCGACTGGAGCCAATGCCAGATAATCCAGCAGTGAGTGCAAAGGGGACCTGGGATGTGTAGCGTTCTTTAGCGCGCCCAGTAGCGACAAGGCAAAAGTCGAACGAGGCTCACTACTCACAGTCAGACCATCGCTTAGACCGATGATGCAGTCTCGAACCAGATCAGGATTGAGCAGCGTAGCTTCCTCCTTTTTGAGCTCCTTACAGCAAATGCCCCTCTCTCCGTTTCTCGCCTCGCAGGCAGAGGTCACACTGTGCTGATGTTCAGGCTCGAGTGCGGTACTGGAAGAAGAGGCTGGGGAATTTTGATCTGTAGTCTTCAACAATGGAGTGCTCTCCACTCCTTCTTCTTCTTCGGTAGGAGGAACATACGTGGTGTTGGTCGTAGTGGTGCTCCATACCGACGCTCTGTTCTGCTGCTGGGCTTCAGGATCGTGAGCATTGCGAGCAGAGGAGCGAGGTAGCGCCATGCTGGGTCCTCGCGCCTCTTCGGCTTTGCTGGATGGAGCACCTTTGGATCGCGCACATGGGCCCGAGCCGGCGTTGGCACCGCATTTACAATTGGCGCAAGGCATGCCGGACGATCGAGGAATGGGACTGCGAGGGTGATGAAGGCAGGGGACGCTGGTAGCTGCTTGTTTGATGGAGGATTCGAGCGGCTGGGCGCAGGTCAATCCTGGTGTGTTTGCTGGTGGTGGAGGTGGTGGTGAGGTGGTGTGTATGTTGCAGGAATGCGAGGAGGAACGCAATCGCTCTATCGCGAGACTCGATCGATTGGCTTTTTGAAGCATTAATGAATCGTGAATGAAATTGCCGACTCGAATCTCCAACAGATCTTTTCGAATCTGCGCGCAACAACCACGCATTCATTCCCTCCCAACGAATCACAGCGCCTCCAATTCCAAGCCGTGCCCACGCCAATGGGGCAGCGCGAGACTGCTCAAGTGCTTAAAGTATCGCATACCAACAAGCCACACATGCCCGCTACATACCGTGACTGTACAGGTACTCTGTATACCGTACAGCATCAGTAGTAGTAGTGCTGCAGTCCACGCAAAAGTTCAAATTAAGGCGTGCTTTGAAGGTCATGCCTTGCAGCCCAGCCAGCATGCAATCGCGAATGCAGATGCAGGCAGGCATCCATCCAGAGGCATCCATCCAAGCATCCATGCAGGCATCCAGGCAGGCATTCGCATTCATTCACCCCCGCGGCTTTGCATCCGGCTGCATGGTTGGGCAGGTGCGCCGGATTATCGTGTTCCGCCGGTCGGTCGGCGTCTGCCGGCACGTCCTCGAGGATGAGCGGTGTAGCGCGATAATCACACTCAGCAGTGAAGAGTGGACCACCATATGACTCGTGACTGTATATGTGCATGGCTGGATGTGTGCTGTCCCAGTAGTCAAGAGTCTGATGAGTATACATACTGCGCGATATATGCTGTATGCTGGAATCGCGAATCACAATCGTGAATGGGGTAACGTAGCATTGTGAGTCGCGAGTGACGATCAGGTTCCCCAAGTCGCGAGTCTTCATTCAGTGATTCGTGATTTGAGCCAGGCAAGACTCAAACTCGGGACTTTGTCGAAGAGGAGAGGCAGTTCGGGCGCTTCGCGATTGGAGACCCAGGTCAACGCAAGTTGTCGGACAGGAGGGCGTCAAGACTGTGTGCATGATCGGAAAGAGGGGGGGAGTGCGGGAACATCAATTCGAGGCAGGCAATGCGAGAATGTTGGCCTTGGTGCTAGAGCAGCGAGTCTCGGATGACGGGGCGAAAGAGCTAAGCTACGATCTTCGCGAACTTCCGGTGCCCAGTCTGGAGGAAGAGCGCAGCTCGCAAGTCGAGGTGGCATCACAGCATCAGCAAGAGGAGGCCGGTCAGGCTGTAATCAAGGTCTATGCCAGCGCTATTCATCCTTCCGACCTGCTCAATTCCCGAGGTGGCTTTCCCTACACCACCTTCCAGCAGACAGGCACGAGTAAGGTTGGGCATCAAGCATCCTACCGAGTGCTGGGAAGAGACTTGTCAGGCGTGGTGCAGAGCGTCTCTCGAGGCGCTTCCTCCTCTGCACAAACATGGATCAACAAGCAAGTTCTCTGCACCTCTGGCCACGATCTATCTTTCTCTCAGCACGGCACCTCTGCGCAGTACGTCGTGCTTCCTCTCTCGGCTCTGGTGGAGAAGCCGTCGAGTCTAAGCTGGTCACAAGCTGCTCTGCTTGGCGTGCCTTTGCAGACAGCTTCGCTCATGATCCAACGAGCGCAGATTCAAGCCTATGAAGAAGGTCAACAACAACAGAAGCTCGACATGCTTGTGCTAGGCTGTTCGGGCAATGTAGGTCGCATGTTGGTGGAATTGCTCAGAGGCACAGGTCATAACATCATCACTGCCGCTCGAGGGACTGGCGCCATGCTGAACCTAGCCAGCGCTACAGGTACTGATGAAGGCCTTCCAAGCTGGACCGAACAGCTCAAAGAACTGACAGGATCCAAAGGAGCAGACATCATCTTCGACTGCACGGGCAATTTGGAAGTGCAATCCGCCTCTCTTTGCGTCTTGGCGAAATTTGGCAAGTTTATCTTCATCGCCGCTCCAAAAGGCGGTGCGCCCGGTTCCACAGTGTTGGGCATAGACATGATGAGGATGTACAGACTGGGCCAGTCTTTGTTGGGCGTCAATAGTCTACTGTACGACGTGGCTCAGGCGAACGCGCAGCTCAATCATTCCCTTGCCCTCATCGACCATACGAAACCTTTGTTGGCACAGGAAGAGATTGAAAAAGTGCCACTCCGACTAGCCAAGCAGACCTACGATCTGCTCAATGGCAAACAAGGCAGAGCTGGCAAAAAATACTGCATCGTCTTTGATGAAGCGCGCGAGGGGCATTGAAAGCTTTGCAAAGCGAAGCACGCAAAAGCATCCTACCGCAAGCAATTGCCAAATTCGTCAAAAAAATGCTGTCATGTCACATTTGCTGTTGCTACAACGCCAACACCACAGAGGAAGTGAGTCGCCCGGAGAGCGTTACTAGACGCTTCTCAGACATCGCTGAACCACTTTTGGGAAGTTCCAAGAGTGTGGGACGCGTCAGCTACTTGGTTTGTGCGGACCGTTCACGCATCGAAATATCTGAGCACGAACCTTGGTTTGAAGCTCCGAGGCGAGCTCCTCTCCGCGCGAGACGAGCTCCTTGAAGTCGGCATTTTCCGTGTGGAACTGCAGAGCACGAGGAGAAAACCGTGCAACGTTTCAGCGGCGTGGCATGCAAGACATGTCCCCCAAAACGGCAGTGATTTTGTGCTCCAAGCTACTCACAGCCATGGCAGCAGCATCGTTGTAGACCTCGTAGACGTTGACAACGTTCTTGTCGACAGCTCCGCGGGTGATGCGGTACTAGCAAGACGAGGTGCACAACATGCACAAGCGAGGGCGCGGTGTCAGCTTAGTCACACGCGGGACAATACTCGGCAGGTCAAATACAGGATCTTGAATTCTTGAGCAGCTTGAAGTCAGTCTGCGGGGGATGTGTGGAACGCATATATGCGCTTTACACGTCACAGCAGCCTATCGAAGCGCCCCGAGGCGCAAGTACAAAGCTCTGCCATCACTCGTTACGACGACTCGTGATTGCGGAGACTCACCACCGAAGTTCCAGGCTCCTGGTCCGAAAGAGCCTTGCTCTGGATCTTTTTCAAAAGACGAACGATCTCATCCGTCTTGCCACTGTCGCGTCCCACGATGGTGACGTTGAGGATGAGGGGAGTGACACCCGAAGGTGGAGACATGAGATCATCGTTCTCGAGCGCCATGTTGGGTTAAAGTGTTGATGTTTTGAATCGAGGTGGACCTTGGAGTTTACAAGTCAATGGGACTCGGCGTGATGTTTGACGCACGTCGTAAGTGATGGAATGGATGTGGTGTCAAGAGGGGCAGAGGCAACATGTCAAGATTTGATCTGTTATATCCGCTTTCGCTGCCATCCGAGGGCAGTGCAGAGGACCCGCGCTTGTAGGATGGAATCTGGACCGATGAGCGATGCAATCAATCAATGCAAGAAACGAAGTTCCGGGTGGGAGGGGGCTGAGCGTGCATGGCGGGACGAGAGGGCTATGCGGGCGTGGGCTGCATGCTCTGTACCTTTCACCTACATACGCTCGTGTTAGAGTGGAGGCTCCACCAGCCTCGCTTCTGTGGTTCGCCCATCACCAGCTTGTACAGGTGCCGCGGCACAGCGCAGTTGCCGCGCTTACTCGTGACTTGAGACTCTGCCAGGCAGCAGGATTCGAAGAGGGCCGAGCGGAGAAAGCGGTCCCTGCTGCTGCTGCTGCTGATGATGATGATGTGGGGGCGATGAAGCGCCTGCTGGGATGGAGCGGCGTCGTGCGAGTGCACCCAAAGAAAGACATTACTCAAAACGGAGAGCTATCTGATATATCAGTCACCACAATCAAGATGCTCCACAACGATTAGAGTCGGGAGTTTGAGCGTGAATCACACTGACGGTCACGAGTCTTTGGAGTGCGACTGCGGGGTCGGGAGTTCCTTAGGCGGCAAGCTCGTCGTTGAGACGAGTGTTCGGTGCATCGGCTGACGCCTCGCTTGTGCGCAAGACTCAAACTGTCCAAGCTCTCGAGCCGCGGTCCCACCATCACCCACCACTCACTGTTCCATCTTCCTCTGCATTCGTGATTTACGACCGAGCCTCCTGCATGGTGCATAACAAAGATCACGCTGGCAGATGGCTGAGCAGAGGTCAGAATGCGCACGGGCCACGACGGAGGCATTGATGATGGTGCAAAAGGGACCCACACGGGTAGCTGCCAATTTGTGGCTAGCAGGTCTTGATCAGCTTCGCTCAGCCAGCCAGCTCGAGCAGCTCGGCATTTCGCACATTGTCAATGCGACGAGAGAGCATGCAGACGTATTTCCGGAAGAAGGTTTTGTGAGGGTACGGATCGCGGCTAGCGATAATGCTCAAGAAAGGCTTTCTCCTCATTTCGAGCGGATAGCAGAGCTGATCAGGCAGGCAAGAGATGCCGAAGGGGCCCAAGTGCTGATTCATTGTCACGAAGGGATCTCCAGAAGCGCTACTTTGGCTCTGGCTGCTGTGCTCATACTGGATGGAAAAGGTCTGAGCGAGGCGATCGAGCAGATGAGAAGATGCAGAGCTCCCGTCGAGGTGGAGCCCAACCCCTCCTTTCTCCACGAGCTCAGGCAGCTGGAACTTCGACTCTTCGGCAGATTTACAGCAAACAAACTCACCAGACTGGACGATTGTAGGTCGCCGATCGCTGAGCACAGCGTCCGAGAAGACATTGCACGATTACTCGCTCGAGCGGCGTCGGATCCTACAGCCATCGAAGGGCTCTTTCCAGAAGCGGATCACATCGCATTGCAGCTTGCGAGCAGCTTTGAGCGAGATCAGACGTTCGAGAGGGACGCTTTGTGCATGTTGGAGCAATACGCGGTGGGGTTCAAACCTCAGCACGAAGCCGCGGCCAAGGTGCTTCTACAAATCTTGCTCAGCTTGTCAAAGGAGCTCGGTTGCGGCGGCACTGCCCTTGTGCTTGGCAGACTGCAGCAATGGCTTCGAGTCAATCAGCTCGAGTTGCGAATGGATGCACCTCAGGCGCTTAAGCATGCCAATGCCATCATGCAAGCATTGGCGGCAGCCGAGACGGACAAGATGAAATGATCGCGTCAAGATGCTCAACGACCATCATCATTCGATACAAGCCACTCTGGGACCATGAGCAGCTCTCTGCAGTCAAGCCAATCCATTTTGCGCGAAGCGCACGACTGGAGTGCAAGAGCTTTGCATCAATAATCATTCGACGGTGGTATGTGACAGTCAGTCGATTGGAGGTAATGATGATACAATAGTAAGTTAGACGATGAGAGAGGCAAGAAAAGAGCGATCGGTCGAAAGGGGGCACAGCGGAGTAGACTCTGGAACCTTTGGTGTGTTCTTTTTCCCTCGTTCAAGCAGCTTGAGAGGGCGAAGGGTTATGCGTGAGGTGCTCATCCGAGCCCTTCTCACCACGCGACGCGGTCTCCTTTCTCTCCTTGTCCTGTCGGATCTCCCTGGGCACCAGAGCCAGTCCGGCAAGGTACACCACACCGACCACTCCAGCCCAGACCCAAATGACAATGCGAGGCGCATTTCCAGGTTGCCAAGTCCACAGTTTGAAGCCTTCGCTGATGTTCCAGACTGCGAGACCGAACATGACGACACCGTTGAAGATGTGGAAGAAACCGATCCATCTGAAGCCTGTTCGCTTGCGTATCTCGTGCGTCGTTGCTCCCAGAATGGCTTGAATGAGGATGAGAATGAAGAGCGCAAGACCGAGCTTGTGGTGCAGCAATGTCCACTGTGGTGTGCCGCGCTGACGGTAGTTGTAGACGCCGAGAGCGAAGCCGATGATGACGAAGACGACTGCCAAACTTTGAACGGCACTGTGGTAAGGGAACCACTTGAACATGGTGCGTCCAAATCGGCCAATGAAGGCGCCTAGGGGCACGAGCAGCATCCAGCCCAGAACCATGAACATCTGTGTCACGGCACCAGTTTCAAGCTTGGGCGTCAGTCCCTGCTACACTCGGTCACGTATACGCAGGGAGCGCCACGTCAAAACTCACCATATGAGCGAACCAGATTTGAGTCGTCTTGTTGCTCAGGTCTCGCTGCGCGGGACCGTATCCGGCAGTGCCTGCACCTCCATCTCCCGTGCTTGCGCCCTGACCGCCAGCTAGACCAGCAGGTGCAGCGCCAGTGTACTCCTTGGTCAGATCGAGCGTGAAGAAGCCACGGCTGTCGTGGTAACGGATGGTGGCGGCGGAGTCTGCCGAAGCTGGAGCTTTGGCCGCTCCAGCGTAGGCAAAGATGTGATCGATGGTTCCGGGAGCCTCGGCTTGACCGAAGAGCCAACTACTGATGGTGTGCTGCTGCGTCTGAACGGACTGTGCAGCGTTCCTTTCGAAGCCCTGCGCTTGTTGTGCGCTGACGCGAGCTTCGGTAGGCATCACCTCACCAGGGGCGGATCTGTGCGAGGTGGTGACGCTACCATCCGCATTGGGCCAAGTCACCAAGATGTTTGCTCCGGACATTTGCGTTCCTTGTCCGATACCCGTCCATCCGTACTGTCCAGTCTGAGCGACGACCAGAGTGTAGTTGATGGCCTGCCGTTCGGGCAGATACAATCCCGTAACGCAAAAATCGCCCGCTGTGCTGCAGAAACTGTCAGATGTCATGCCAGCTGCCCTTGGGACTTGGGCCTGCGTCAGAGTCGCGAGCCCAAAAGCGCTGAGCGCCGTCAAAATACCGGTGCGCATTGTGAGTGCAAGACAAGAGGGAATGAAATCACGAATGCAGCTGCCGCTGTTGATGTTGCTTGCTTGTGGATCCTTCTGTCACGCGACACTCGCGGGGGGAGTGGCTGGCGCAGGAATATGATGGGTTAGGGATTGCTGTCGGGAAGGTGGCAAGGCAAGGACGGAAGAGGAGAAACTCAAATCGATTTCATTTATCAGGTCGATTATGAGCATTCGTAGCTGCTGGACGGATCCAGTATGTGCTCCAACAGAGCGCCTGTACGGCCAGAAAAAGCAGTCACAGAGTGGCAGGCAGAGAGGCTTGCCAAGAGGAGCCGCAGAGCGCAACAGTCGCAGGATGCAATAAAGCGCGCGAGCAACGAA